ATTCCCACCTGGCCCTGAGAGCCCCTGCCATCAAAGCAGACATTATTACTACAAATCTTATTGCTTGCAGTGCCCCCTGTCCTGGGGAACAGCCATCCTGGCTGGCCATGGGAGCTCACGGCCTCCCTGGGGACCGTGGCCATCGACCAGGTCTGACATCATCAAAACGAGATGAAGAGAGTTAATGCTTCAGCTTTGATGTGACATAAAACCAAACTGAACACCAGCACCACCCACCCACCCCGCCCCATCCCATCCCCCCACGCAATCGCCAGCCCTTTGGTTGCGGCACGCTGGGCAATACAGCCCCACCAAACCGACACACCAGTCAGAACAAGAACCTGTGGAAAGCCCATGAAATAAATATTTTAAAAACCTATTTACAATATTAGATCTGTGAGCATGAAGTGAGAGAAAAATGCCTTTTCTTGCCCCCAAAAATCTTTAAAAAGTAGGTTAGCATCCTGCTGCCTAGCACAACACTATCTTACATGGCACCTACACATAATATATATTCACATTTCATTTTAAAATTAGGTACTCTTACAAACAGACTTAGAAAATGTTGGCTAGCAATACAGCCCGTGGGACCGCCTGGCCTCCAGACCCATGTCACAAATGCTGGCCGGCTGCATCCCAGCTCCTTCGGCTGCCCCAAAGCTGCCAACATGCCCTGAATCAAAACCGCCAGCTGCCCTCTGCTGCCCTTTGGGGAGAAGGTGGAAGTGCTCGTGAGAGAGAGGGCTTGTCTGCGGAGAGGGGAGCAGGGAGGATGGGGACTGTGATTTCTGCTAAGCCTAGGGGTGAGCTTAATACAAACAAGAACTCCTGAGAACATCTTAGAACAGATGGATTCATTTCACAACCACCAAGCTAAAGGATGGGCCAAATGGATGCTACGACACACAGGGGGGAACACACGCGACATGGGGACACCATAGGCTTGTGGTTTGCTCAGAAAACCTACTGCTACAAGAAAAGCTCCAGTGGCATTCCCTGTCAAGGAGGAGCCTATCCCCATCTTGCTCCTGGGCTGTCCAGGCGTACAGCCCAAGGATGCAGACCCAAGTATACCTTGGCTGGAGCTCAGCCCTCTTCCCCCTGCAAGACTGCTGATGGTGGAAAGGTGAGAGCCCAATCTGAATGGCCACTCACACTTCCACAGTGCCCCAGGCACTAGCCATGAAAGGCTGGGAATACAGCTTTCTCTGTCATCTTCAACTGGGAATGCAGTTGTCAGGATGAAATTTTCGAGCTGGAGAGAAGTGTCCATCAGCAAGTCTTAAAAACAGGGCACCAATATATCTGATTTCATGTCTATTTCCTGGGAGGTTACTAGGAGCTGACAAAGCTTTTGGAAACATCAGCATTTCCAGAGGTGCCAGAAGAGCAGCTGGGACACGGGCTGGGCTACAGCTTTGCTTATCTGCACACCAGCAAAAAGTGGTGTGGGCAGCCAGCCACCCTCTCAGTCCAGCACTGCATGGCACCCCCAGCACTGAAGGGGCAGGGGTGCAGAGAGCAGCAGGAACTATTTCATCCTGCTCTCACAGCTCGATCAGCAGTGCAGCAGAAAGTTTGTCAGAAGCATCAGTGCCAACTGGTCGGCTCTTCAGAGAAGGTTTGCTGCAAATCTCTCTCCCTGACATGCTGGCAGGTGACTACAGAAACCCCACTGCACAGAGTGAACATCGGCAAACAGGACCTTGCCAGGGATGAGTAAGTGATGAATATAAATATGTGCATGCTTTGGGTACATACCATACACCCTGTCAGCAGGGAAACCCATTCCATCTAGGCCTTGCTAAACAAGATCCTAACAGCTACAGGTAGGAGGAGCCATCCCGGGCTCAAACAGCTCTTGCTACAGCACCAACGTAAGTTTTGACTCTGAGCTTGGCAAACGCAGCTCCTCCCAGTGGTTAATTAAGATGGACGGATCCTGAACATGTGAAGTGTGAAGACCCAGAGCTGCTGATGACAAGAGAGGGAAAGAGGTAACCATGCAAATGAGAAAGGGGCCTGGCAGCAAAGGGACAGTGAGGACATCTGTGGAGATGGAGAACTGAGAGGATGCTGCTCCTAGTTCATGGACCAGGGTGCATGATGGAGACTAGTTTCAATAGGATGAGAAAGTAGCCAGCAAGAAAAGCCAAAGTAACAGAAAGAGATCTGCTTTGTGGGTTGCAGCACTTGAAATCCAGAGCTGTCACAGCAGAGCAGGGAGCTGCGGGGTAGCTCAGGGGAAGAGGAGCGCAATGAGTCTGTGGATCTGAGGATGGCACTGTGGTAGTGCCAATGGGCAACTCTGAGCCTGTAGCACATAGAAACACACTCCCTGTCCATGTGGAATAAGATACTAAATCATATTGCTTATTTTCTTCCATTCATTAAGCTCATCTGCAGCCCCCTGTGCATCCCTTGCATGATGTAAAAGCCACATTTATTGGTAACAGACTGCTCTAAAGCAGGGGCTGTGCCTCAGCAGCACACATCTCCACTGCCTGCCAGGGACACTGCTCAGCGTTCTGATCCCACCACTGCCTAAGCCAAGCAGTGCACACCAAACTTGGACAGATGCCCAGAAGCTGCTCCACTCCAGCACCAATGACACCTACTGTCCCTGCTCGAGCCAATCAGTGCTGGTAAAGCCCCAGGGTGCAGGAAGGTATCCAGGATGCTGGAGCAGCAGCACCCCATCTAGAAAGAGTCCCTTGCTTTGTATAGGGTTTTATCCTAATGGGACTCCTGCTCCCTGAAGCACAGGAGACAGGGAGCTAGACAGCCTGCATTTACCATTTGCCAGCAGCTAAAAAATGAGAGAAGAAAAAGAGAGGGAAAACCTCAAGGAGCGTGTGGTGCATGGTGATGGTGAAGGATGGGGAGAGGGGATTTGCTGCAGGGGAATGGCATGAGGAACAAAGGTAAGAGGCGTGCTCACATGCACACCTGGCCCAGAGGAAGGAGAGGAAATCTGGGCCCATGTGGCTGAGCCCCAGCCAGAGGCTAGAGAAGGACCGTAAGTAGCAATGGAGAAGCAAGAGGGGAAGACACCTTGCAAAAGAGGTACAGATCAGTCACTTAACTGCCATCAGTGCCCTCCTGCCTTACACCTGTCTTGAAATGCTTTTAAATCTTTTCTGACAGAATGTTTGACATATTTAATGCATGCACTAAAAATTAAAGTAATAGATAACTTCATATTAATCTGTACAGGGACTGACAGGCTAGATTTAATCACTTGCTAGCTGTTCAGAGAGTTAACTTATTCTAGCACAATTCAAAGGAAAGGCAAAGGATTTTTTTTTTTAAATCAGCCATTTCACAGTAAGAGAAAAATGTGCCGCAGCATTGTGTGTGTCAATGCTTGGGAAAGGGAGTAACTGCAAAAGAGCCAGAGGTGCTCTGTGAAGGGCGTGCAAATCAAACACCTGGTTTCATCCTCTGTACTAAAGGGGTACAATGAAAGATTATAACACAATTATCTGCCTTTCACCTCCAGCCCCCAGGCTTTGAGATCTGGGGTTCAACACCAACCATGAAAAGCAATTCCTTTTGCAGCCAATCCTTTTCCAGCCTCTGCTCCCAGGCCCAGCATCTCTTGACTTCATGGGCTGCACCAGAGCCTTGCTCTCATCAGGGACAAGCAGCTGAGTAAGGTCCAGCAAGGCAGCTGTTAAAGGTCTGGCAGCCTCAGGGCCCGCACAGTGCCCTGACAGGCACTGCTGCTTTGTTTGTGGAAAGAGGCTGGCATTGGGATCCCTGCAAATGGACTCTGCAGCAATGTGAAAGTGAAGCCATGGGGATGCAATGGCTGAGCAGGGGCCTTTCCCTAGCACAGACCACAGCCCTCCCCAGCTGCTGGTCATCTCTGCCCAACAGAACCAGCACAGCCACACACTCTATGCACTTCTAACAGGTTTTTCTAAGAGAAGACAGGCACTATGACCCTGTTCTGTGACACAAGCAAGGACAAACCTCCTGCACCTTGCTAGTAAAAGGGTGAAATACAAATTATGGTAAAAAATTAACGCAAGCCAGTCCCTCATCCCAACCTTCTTTCAACTGCAAAACCTGGCTTAGGAGAGCACCAGGCAAGATGTGCACAAAAGCACAAGGTGAGGGCCAGAGCTCCCTTCCTGCAGAGCACCAACATCAGGAACTCAAGCCCTTAAAAAGGGAAAGATTCAACCTTCAGTGAAGCACTGCAGAAAAGCTTTGCCATCAGAGACCACAGAAATCACCACAAGGACAGGGAAATAGGAGAAGGAGGTCCGTCCAAAAGCAGAGCATGGCAAGACTGGTTCATCCCTGAAGCCAGCAAGAAAAAAGACAGATACAGCCCAGCACGCCCAGCTGGCAGCAGTGGATGTGGCAGCCTGGTACCTGGCTCACCCACGGCATCTCCTCAGCCTGAGCGGGCCCTCTCCACCCACAGGCTGTGCAGTGAGGAGCAGGCAGCCATCAGCAGTACACACACCAGTAGCTACTTCACATTCTCATGCAGGTAACAGTCTGGGACACCAGCAGCTGCTACCAGCGAACCGACAAAGGACAGACTCGCCTTTCTCTTCCTTAGTGATGCGAAATGGTTTTGGTTTTGCTTTAAATGCCACTAAGAAGACAGACAGAAGGAGGACTCTGAAAGAAAGGGAAATGTTTGTGTGCACCCAAAGGCTAACAAAAGCTACTTCATGTGCACGAAGGTGGTTTTCTTTCTGCTACAGTACAAGTGCTTGTGCCTCAAGTATAAAACGCAAGCCTCCAAATCACACAGACAAGCTTCTTATTTTTATTTTTAAAGTGATAAATAAGGCACTGTACTTTTAACAAAAACTGCCTGGTTCCAAATTTAAGAGAACCCAAGGAACGTTTAAACTGCAGAAACTTCCTTCTGAACAGCAGAGCCAGACAGACCAACCACTTCTCTGTCCAAGACACATCTGCTGATGCCTAAAATCATGGGCGTTATCCTTTAACTGCGGATTTTTAAAGGCTTGCTACAGCTTATAAAAGCAGCTTTAGTTAATGCATGGTAAAGGGTTACTACTATACATCAGTTTTGTACATGGCTACCGGTTCTTTGCTATTTCGGGTCCAGTCGTGAGCGTTTGCTGTGTGAACAGTCCACTTTTGCCCTCAGCTTCCTCTTGCCCTGAGACACACTGTTCTCCTGCATCTTCTTCATGGACCTTGTTAGGGTCTTCCCACTGCTGTGCTTCTTGTTGGCCATCTTCTGTGACCGTGTGGAGGACTCCCCCAGGGGCTTCTGCTTTGGGGACTTGGACAGCTCCTCATGGCTGGGAAGCAGCACACCCCGTCTGCTCGTGTTCTCCTTGCCCTTCCGCATGGGGAGTCGCATCTTCTCCAGCTGCTTTTTCGGAACTCTCTTCTCTTTCAAAGACATTTTTCTGGCCAGTTTATTGCTCCTCTCCACAGCAGTCTGCTTTCGGGTGGCGGGAGATTTTGCACTGACCTCTGAATGCTTTATTTTACTAGCCTTCTTGGCAGGCAGCTTGTCCTTGGTGGAGGAGCTGGATCGCTCCTGGGTGCTCCCACTCTCCTTCAGCATCTTCTTCTTCTTGCTGAGCTGGAAGTCGACTTTGGGTAAGGGGTCCTCTTGGGACCTGCTCTTCCCCTTCCGCCCCTTCCCCGTTCCATCCACCGAGGGAGATTTAGCAGGAAAGGCAGCTGCTTTGATCTGCAAGGCCAGCTTTGGAGACATCAGGGGGTTGATGCACACACTCTTCCGACTCTGCTTGCTCTCCAGGGACAGATGGTCCCCTGGGCCATCACTCTGCTTCTCTGCCTTCACCACGCGCTGCTGGGCTCGCAGCTTGCCCCGAAGATTGGAGTACTTGCGCAGGATCCTGGTGCTAGCCTGCGTGGGCAAGCTGAGGGCAGGCTGGATGGATTTGTCTTCACTCAGCTCCTTGGTGCTGGCATCAGTGGGAGACATCTGGTTGGGAGTGATGGCTTCTTCAGCCTCTGCTTTATCAGCATTCTCACGAATTTTGGCCCAAAGCTTTTGGTTCTTCAGGTTATTCCGAGCTGGGGTAGTGGCAGCAAACTTCTTGAGATGTTTTTTCAAACGTTCAGCTTGTAGTGAGCTGGGGTAGAGACTAGAGGAAGAATATTTCTGCATGGGGACTTTCATGGGGGGAATCTCCCCTGGGAGACGGGTGTTGAGTTTCTTCACAATCACTAGAGACCTGGTTTCAGTTGTCTCCAGAAACCACTGGCATATGTCAGACAGCTTAAAGGCCTTCATAAACAGCATCTGCACAGGAGAAAGCTTCTGCACTTCCAATGAGCCTCTGCTTTTCCGTGTTCTTTTTTTGCTTTTCCAAATCTCTTTCAGTTTGTCGGCTTTGTTCTTTACCTTGGGGGTTGGATGGACCTCTTTCTCCAGCTGAATCCAGCCCTTCTGGATTTTCATGTACTGAGTGTTGAACTCAGCAATGAGCTCCTGGTTCTCCTCTTCAGCACACCACTCCATGAACTTTGGTTTGCTGTCAGCCGTGTCTATGTCCTCCAGTGCTGGGCAGTCATCATTCCCTGAACTGTGTTCATCCCTCAGTTTGGGGATTGCTTGCATAGACTCCTTCCCTGGTGTGTTCTTTTTTGCACTGTCTACAGGTGCAGGTGCATGTCTTAAGTTATAAAACTGCAGAGCAACCTTTTTATGCTTTGCAGTTTTTGCTGGAAGATGCTTGCTTCCACCTCTGCTGCTGGGACACAAAGGCAAATTGGTCACCAGCTCGTAGTCCACTGGATTGCCCAGATCCCTGGCACTGTCAGAGCTCTCCTTGTCCTCTGTACTGGCATTGACTATTTTCACATCCACTTGCTCAGCATCATTTGCAGGAACACTGTTCTCTGGAGGGAGGAGGATGCTGATTTCCAGCATCTCACCCGGATGACTTTGGCTGCTGTTAGCAGAGGAGTCATCTTTAGAGGAACTTTCTCCCTCTGCAGCAGTCTCTTTTGCTAAGATGCTTTTACAGGTTTGCCTGGTAGTGACACCATTCTCCTCGCCTGACTGCTGCTCAGTGATGCTCTCTGGAGCCTGGCCAATGTCCAACCCTTCACTGGTTTTGAGCAGCACATTGGGAAAGCAGTCGTTTGGGAAGTGCATGGATGCTGCCTCATCCAGCTGCTCTTCTCTCTTGAACCGCTTAGGGCCAGGGCTCTTGGAGACTTTGATCTGAAGGCAAGGAAGCTGCACAGAGCTGGAAGAACCAGAGTCCTCAGCACTGCCCTCAGCAGATGACTGGGATTGTTGGCTTCGGAGACACCGGTCCGATGCCACTAGCACTCTCCTACCTTTCTTTCGCTTCTTGTCTAGACTGTCTTTGGAAGAGACAGAGTCTGAGCTGTTCGGGTCGGGTGGCATTTCCCCTTCAGTGGGCTCTTTTTCACCTGCTATGTTGTTATTCTGCATTGCCTCCACTTCCAAGATTTTGGGGAGGGGTGTGCTGATGAGCACAGCATCCTCTTGCACAAGAGGGCTGTCACCCACCATGACCAATGATTCGGCTTCTGGTTTAGCATCAATGCTTTTGTTCACATCCCCACACTGCAAAGCAGCAGGGGGCTCCAGGGGGCTCTCCCCATCCATGGTGGCAGGGGGCTCATCAGGAGCCTGTGAGCCTGGAGAGCATGGGGAGGGCTCTGCCAGACACTGCTCACAGAGCTCGGCATCCCCTGAGCCTGGAAGCTGGGCAGGATCCCTGGCACCATCACAGGACAGAGGTGTTGTGTTTGTAGTGGCAGAGGGCTGTGAGGAAGACTTTGGCCCTGGGCTGGCAGGGAGGTCTGGAACAGTTTGTATGTCAGAGCCTGGACAACCTTCCTCCTCACCATGTGCTTCTGAGACAGAAAAGGCAGCAATATCAGCAGCCTGCCTGCTGCTGCTGCCATCCCCAGAGGAGCCCAGGCTTCTGTCAGCTTCCCAGGTGTCAGTGCCTCCTACTGTCATCCCCCCTCCTTCAGCAGGAGGGGAGCCAGGTGGCGGTGAGCTGGCCAAGCTGTCCTCTTTCTGGGGGCTGGGTGGAGCGGAGAGGGAGAAGAACGGCATGGCCACAGCAGCTTCCCTTGATCGCAGTGCTCGGGTATCCCGGAGCTGCATGGAACTCAGCTCAGCTCTCTCTTTTGTTTCTCGGCTGGTTGGTGCCACTTTAGCCAAGAGCCTCAAGGAAACCCTCTTCTCACCCTCCCGTCCTGCCCCTGCAGATCCCTCCACCGAGAGCACCAGGGGTGGCTTTGCACTTACGAGGGTCTCCGTTCGCAGTGCCGGGCTGCTCGCCCTCTCCTCCGCCCGGGAGCTCTTCACCAGCGTGCGGACGGTCGGGAGCTCGCAGCACTCCCCGTTGAAGTAATACCCCCGGGTGCTCTTCCTCGCCGTCCTGCGGGACGACACCAGCCGCTGGGTCTCAAAATGGCACTCGGTGATGGGCTGGCTGATGTACACCACATCACACTGGTTGTCATAGTCATTGATCCTCAGCCCCGAAGCCTTCTTGCTCTTCCGAGAGGACCTGAGGGAGGCTGCCTTGGCGCGGGGGTGCCCACCGGGGGTCCGGTGGGCAGCTGGCACGGCGCCAGTGGGCAGCCAGCCCTCTTTGGACTTGTCCAGCGTGCCCTTGTCGGCTGGGTGCAGCTGGCAGCCTGCCTTGCCCTTGGCCATGGCATGCAGGTGGTTTTCTTGCTTTGGTCTCACATCTTGTTCTTTTGCATCTAAGTCCTGGTGCAAAGACGCTTTTGAGCTGCATTGCAAAGCGTTCTCTTTGTCAGCTCTGCGAGGGGGGGTCACTGCAAAGCCAGGATCCCAGGACTCCTCTGGGAGAGCCCTGAAAGAGCTCTTTTGGGACCCCAGACAGCTCTCTAAGCTGTCTTCGCTGCCATTCACATTTGCCACTTTGACTGAGATATAACCTTCCATGAGAGTCTTACCTGCTAGCTGCTCTTTATTATCCTCACACTTCCTGATACCGGCTTCTTGTTCCTGTCCAGCAGCTTGCTGTCCCTCCAGGCTCTTTGCGGCATGATGGAAATTCAAAGAGGAAGAGTTCAATGTGCTGAGGTATCCTTGGGTGGGGCTATCCTTTGGACTAGCAGAGCAAAGCCTGCTGATGGGGAGCTCGCAGAAGTCCCTTCTCAAAACAGGACTGGAGCTCTCTGCTCTGTCCAGAGACTTCAGTTCCACTGGCTGCTTTGGGGCTTGTCCCGTAACATGCACGGGGCCATCGGCTCCTGACTGTCCTGGATCCAATGTAGAAGGGAGCTTTGATTCAGTACAAGTAGCACCCTTATCCTGATTTTCAGTGCTTCGCTGGCTACAACCGGAGCCGCAAGTAGAGGCCTCCATGCTCTCAGATTCGGATAACTGCTGGCTGTCAGAGTCTGGTTGTACTTCAGTGTATATGTCGTTTAGCACACGAATGAACTGCTTCTGGTGATGTGTACACAGTCTGACCATAAATTTTTCCAGTGGAGACTTCGGCTGATTGTTAGAGTCTATTGCTATTGTCTCTGCTGCATCCTCACTAGAGAGACAAAGAGAGAAGCAGTCAGTAATGTCCTAGGGAATATTAGTTTATGCTGCAAAACCAGAATAACCCTTCTCCTCCCATCCTCCAGGATGCCTCCAGGCACATCACTTGCCTGACCTCCAGGTGAGATCAAACATCCTGTTTTCCTGGGGCTGGCAAATGTCCCTTCAGTCCCAGCATGCACACTTACATGTGCAGACTGCTGGCAGGACACAGACTGCACTTTTGTTTATCTGCCACTGCCAGAGCACTCATAATTACACTTCTGCCTAGGACATCCCAGTGTGTAGGCACCATGTCACATGTTCCAAGCAAACCTAAAAAGAATCAGACTTAGCATCTGTACAGCACCTGGCATAGAAGGCCCACCATTTCTAGGACAGCTGCACACCTCTGCTCCCTCACTCTGCACTGCCAGGCTGGGTGGGAGCAGAGCAGCATCCCAGCTGGGCATCCAGATGCCAGGAATCTTCAGCTACTCAAAGCCTTAAAATTCTGCTTACACCTCAGTGGCAGAAGATGGGTCTGAGGCCAAACTGAGCAGATCTGAGCCTCTTCTGTAGTCAGCACAGAAATTCTGGTGAGCTCCCAGCCTGCAGGACATGCAGGCATCGATGCACCCTGTGTGGTGTTGTGCCATTTGCACTGACCTTTGATTAGCTGGCCTTTAATAAAGTGCTCCTGCAGCTGATGGGCTGTCAGCACACAGTGGTTGTGCAGAAAGGTGGGCTTCCACAGCACAGGGTCACTGCCACTAGCTAGCGCTCAAACCCAGGCCATTATCAGTTACCTGCTTGGCAGAGGCAATTAATTAGGACTTACTGGTGGAGAGGTTAAGGGATAATTACCCAGTGTTTGCATGAATGCATCATGAGTGCCATGCCAGGTGCTGTTATCGAGACCGTATCTGTTCCCAACGGCAGCACAGGCAATTCCCACCCAGTCCTGACCACGCTGAGAGGGCCCCACGTCTTGGCACCCACACTGCCTGACACAGGATCTTTACCACTAACATAGGGTTGCTTTGCAGCAACACTTGCACTTTGTACCTCCTGGCCTTGTACTGGAGGAGTGAAAGTCCTTTCTCCCCCTACAGCCTTTTCTCTGCCTGCCCCCCCACCAGCATCAGACACTGACCTCGCACACTCAGCTGGGTCAAGGGGGGCAACATTTATCAAAGGGTTCAGGGCCAGGGTGGAGAAAAGCAGCTTCATCTGGATGAGGTTTTCCCTCTCCATGCTGCCAGGCACAGGGCTCAACAGGTGGATGAGGAGGAAGAGCTCCAGTTTGGAGGAGCCATCAGCAGAGAAATGGAGAAGGGAAAGCCTGTGGCCAGAGCCAGGCGTTCTCAGTGGCATCAGGCACGCCAGAGCCAGCCCTGGGCAGCCCTCACCCGCTCCTCACTGCTTGCTGGCTGCTTTCTTTGAACTGACACCCACCAGGGAGGCACCTCCAGTGCCCTGATTCCCTGGGCTGCTGGGCAGGGAGAGACACCTGGGGCCACTTCAGGCTCAGGGCTGACCAGGTCTCCTCTTTGCCCAGAAATGCCAGGCTGCAGCCAAGCCTGCCCTGAGCAGCTGCTACCCAGCCCTTTGCTTTCCAGTTTGCCCAGGCAAAACGCGTTTTACACGTAACAAGGCTTTGCCTCTCAAGCCCAGCCTCTCAGTTTCATTAAAGGCTTCTTAGGCAGGGTTTTCCTAAAACCACCTGGAAAGGCTGAGCAAGCTCAGCTTGCCGAATGTGTCCCAGCACCTCCAGAACATACTCCCGGAGTTAGGAATAAACAACGTACCTGGAGACTGCTTTACTACACCCAGGTGAGAAAAACGCCCTCCAGCAACCGTCTGAACAGGTCCTACCTGGCGCTGCGATGGCTTTCAATTTGGAACGCCTGGGATTAGTTTAAATAAAAATACCCAGGTACAACCTGGCCCCTCTCCAGAGCCCTGCATGGGAAGGGTTATGTCAGCCAGGATCTCTTACACAGCCCAGCTCCTCCCCTCGCTCTGCTGAATAACAAAAGGGGATAAAAAAACCTTTCAACCCCCTGGGCTTTGAGCAGGGGGCTTTTCGAAGAGGCAGAGCTCAGCGCAATCTTTTTTCCACCTTTGCAAAGAGGGCGGTGACTCCCTTTACCTACTCACAAGCCTAGCTCTGAAGAGAAACAGCCATCTTCCCCCTGGAAGACTGAATTTATCACGGCAGCAGCAGAGATGGGGCCCTGCCCTGGCCCTCCTACTGCCATGCTCCCTGGGCAGCTGTGGAAAAGGCTTATGGTGGCAAAACAGCCATCTCACTCCTTGCTGGGGCACCTTCGGGTGCTACACTCCATGGCTGTGAAGGAAGAATCCATAGCATAGGCAAAGTGATTGCCTGGGGAAAGGCTGGGTGATGCCTGGTAAGGAGGAGGTTGCAAACCTGTGTACAGAGCCCCTGGCCTGGGAGAAGGGACCAAAGTGGTTGGGCACTGTCCTTTTCTGCCTTGCAGCCCTGATGCTGAGCACAGCCAGCTGCAGGTCACGCCCGCTTTGCATTGGCGTGTGGGATGGAAAACGCTCATGTCCTGCTTGTATGGCAGAGGGGACCTTGGCTCCCTGATCCTGAAGGTTCCAGTGGCATTTCTGCCTTGCCTTTCACCTAATTTATTCCTCTGAGGTGTGACTGCGGCCTTCGTGCTCATTGTCACCTTATTTGCCCTACTGTACTCCAAGGAGACAATCAGAGATACACAAAGCTTGTCAAGCTATAAATTTAAAAAACAGAGATAAATATTTTTTCTGCTTGATAAAGGAAATAAAGACATTCAGTTTTGATGCCCTTTCTACTTAGAAGACCCATCTCACACTCAGTGACACAGTTCACCTGGCACATTGCGTTCAGGGTCCTCTGGTGTCACGCCATTTCAGCTCAAAGATAGGCTGCAACTTCTCACCTTGAGCTCATCTACTCCTTCCCCAGTCCACCCCTGTTGGTACTGCAGGCAGCATCACCTTTTTCTGGGTGTCTAAGGATAACCTTGGGGCAAAGCTTTCATTGCCACCTGCAGTCAGGCTCTGCGGGAGGCTAAGTTCCAACTCCGTCCTTCCTCCTTGTGTCCCCAAGGGTGCTGAGCTGCAGCCTGTGCTTCTCCATCCCCAGACCTCCCAGACACACAGAGTTCTGTGCTCCCAGGGGCCTGCTAATCTGTGTGCCTTGGTACCTGTCCAGCATTTCCCACTATTCCTGTCTGTTCTGGCAACTGCTAATAAATAAAACAAGCCCATGGGCATTCTCTTGTGAGGCAGCTGATGGACACAGGATTGCCCACATGCTCCCTACTTAAGGCAGTTTTGGTGAAGAGCTTGTTTCTGGCTCACATGTATGAGTGGAGTTACATCCAATGCCCCACATTTTCAAGCAGAGTTGCTTATGGACAGTATAAACTGTTGCAGAGAAACTACTTTTTTTTTTAATGTGGCTTATCAGAATAGAGTAGAGGTGAGCTGACTGCAGAGCTGAAATGTCTTTCCAGGGAAAGGTGCCTGGTGCAAACAAGATCCTCAGCCTGGCACAGTGGGAGCTAAAGACTGACTGGTAAACCCAGAGGACAGAAATTGGGAACATGGTTTAAAATAGGAGGAAAAAGTTATTCTCAGGGGGCAGCCAGTCCTGCCTCTGAAGATGCAGGCAGGCAGAGTCCTGACTTTTTTGTGGGACACAGGCCAGCCCCACAGAAACTGCTGGGCTGGAAAGGTCAGCGAGGGAGCCCAGGGCTGCCCATCCCACCTACGGTCTTCTTGGTGCCTGTACTCACCCCTTCCCACATGTCTGGCCCAGGGTTCTCCTAGGTTTGGGTGTGCATGAGGAATGAGCCACCTCTCTCAAGGGCTGGAAAAGCCACAAACCAAAAGGAGATTCACAACCAGTGAGAGATTACCTGGGGACCCTCTATGTCTCTAGTTGAGCTGCAAGTGCAGTCATAAAGGTGTATGGGATGCCTAGAAGGATTCACTGCAATGGGAGAGACAGCCCACCTGTCAGTGAGCTTTCCTGCAGAGCCTGGGACATGGCAGGTCTGCCCTTTCTGCCCGCCAGCCTCAAATGCTGCTTTCACAAGGCTGTGGCTGCCGGATCTCCTCTGTTCCTGTGCCCCAACACCGTCCTTCCAGCCCCACTGCACACGTTACCCTGGACCAGCAGAAGACAACCCTCGTGTCCCAAGTGAATTTTATCACCAGAGTCCCTCACTACCTCCCAGCTCTTCTCGATTTCCCAGGGCAGCCCTGTTCTCTTCCCCTTCCCTGCCTGCCACAGAAGGTGTCAGAGGCATCAAGGGGCAGGAGCTGTCAGAGGCACAAGCGGAGCTGTTGCTACGCAACCCCGGCGGTGCAGCAATTAATGCTGGGGAAAACGTGCTGCGCTCTGAAGCTATTTGCATAGCTGCGTGCTGCAATACATTTGTTTGCATTGTGCCTCCACTGTTTAGTGGAGTTTAAAGTCAACCCTCCCCCAGCTCTTGCTGGAGAGGACCTGGGGCTTCCAACAAAGGCCACGCGGTTGGGGATGAAGGGGCTGGGGGAAGGCAGAGGTTTGTCAGTCCGTAACACCTACAGACTGCACAGACAGAGGATTTACAGTATGGGGAGGAAGGGACAAGTTACCGGTGTTCCTCCCTATATAGCTTGAGGAGCTTTTCCCAGCTCCTGCAGTGCCCCCAGCCCACTGGTGGCGTTGTCATATGTCTTCCTTCCTGTTGTACCAGGGTTACACCGTGCTTGCTCTGTTTGTGAATGCCATTAAAAAAAAGAGCTTTAGGGGCAGCCCAGCCTGTCTCCGGTTCTATAGTGTATTTAGGCAGGGAGCAAGAGGGGAAGAAAGAAAGGGAGAAAGAAATCAGCTGGTTCATACCAACCTACCTGAGAAGCCGGTCTCCGAAAACCTGTCAATTGCCAACTGCAATCTTCTGGTTTGCCCACCCCAAGTTTCTCACTATTGAACATGAAGCCTGTACCCTT